CACACACACACACCAGAGCCTCCTGTCTTCCCAATGTTCTAGGTGGCAGGTGAAGGGTTTGGAAAGGGCAGTTCGGGCTGAAGGTGGAGGGTGCAGAGGGCCCTCACCATGCCGATGAACTCCATCTCCACCTGCCGGTCCACCTGGGTGCGCTTCCTCTGCTGGTGGCCTTTCCACACCTGGTGGGAGGGTGGGGGCAGGACTCAGGGAGGGGCTCCTGGACCCCCTGAAAGGCAGAAACCCAGAACTCTCCAAGAGGGAGGCTTTGGAGGCAGGAGACAGCTTGGGTTGGGAAGGAATGGTGAAGGAATGACGGGGGACTGTGGCAAACCCTAAAGTGTCATATGGGGTGAGCTCGTAGAATCACTCTCCACTTGCGAACCTCGCAGGGGCAGCCTCTCCTCCAAGGAGCACTTCAGTTGCCCCCCCCACCCCCCTCGGCCTTTTCAGAACACTAAGGCGTTTAGAACACATATTTGATTCCACTGCCCAGGGACAAAGAAATCTGCACGGCAGGGGCTGGGCTGACCCTGGGCAAATGCCCACCTTTTGCTCACAAAGAAACTGATATCAGAGATGAGACATCATCAAGGTGGACTGAAGGCTGGGGCCAGGCTTCCCGCCTGACTCCTGCCTGACCCAGGGCTCTTTGCTAGGCCCTGGCCCTCCAATGTGTACGTCCCATATGCACGTCAGGGAAGGGGCGGCCCTGAGCAGAGTGGGACCCTGTACTTCCCATCGCTGTGAAACTTTCTGGGTTGAGGGAGGGTGGGGCTTCAAAGGACGGGGCTCTAGAAGGCACCGCGCTGGGGGTCCCCAAACTATACTCGGCATGGTTCTCATTATCTTGGTTGCCAGGAGGCTCCAGCAACATCGAGTGGCTCGTTTTTGAACTGCTGGAGTGTTTCTGGAACGATCACCTGCTGTGTTCAGCTACACTATTAGGCATCTTTCTTCCCTGCTTTTAACGATCCTTCTGTTTCTGGGGTTTGTATGATACCCACCCCCTTTCAGTCCTCTCGGGGATGGAGGTGCAGAATAAGTAATAAACAGATAAGAGGCATGTTTATGGGCAGAACGAGCCCTCTATCCAGGAGAAGTTTGGGCTCGCATGATGGCGAATGGGGTTCAGCCACGGAGACCCTCGTGACCCTGCTCACCCTGGCTGTGGGTTCAGAAGACCCTGCCCTGACCCTTTGCCCGGGGACCTTGCCCTGCAGAAGACCCTTTGCCTGGCTCCAGGATACCTTCTGTATGATGACAGAGGCTTGCTCCTGGCTGAACTTGTGCCTCCCCTCTTCCCGGGTCCTCCGGTCTAGTTCCTCCTCTCTCCGAATCTCCCTCATGAACCTGGCTCGCAGTCGACCCTGCCGGGCCCGCTCGGCCTTTTGCAGCAAGCATATAGCCTCAACCTGGTGCATTCCTGAAAAGCTCTGGCCGGACAGGGAGAGAAAAGGGTCAGGCTGCGTGGGGTGGGGCCTAGCAGACCAGCTACACGGGTGGAGCCAGGCGTCTTGCTGCCTACATCCTCACCCCTTCCTCTCCCCCACCCCCACCCCCCACTCAATCCCTTGGCACTGGAAGATGATCATGAGCACAGGACCAGCCAGGAAGAGAGCCAGGGGTCACTTAAAAGGTGTGCCCTAAGGGGCCTATGGAACAAGGCAGGGCCCCCCCTCATGCTCCAATGCTCCATCTTACTGGGGAGACGGTGGAGTCCAGGGTATCCTCCCCGAGCCCCCACACCTTCTCAGGGGCCCCTGGCTCCATCTTGGACAGGATTTCCGCCAACAGCAAGCTCCGGTCCTTCAGCACGCTGGCCTGCTCCAGGAGGAAGTATTTGGGAATTGGCACCTCCAGGTCTTCCTTTGAGGCAATGTGGGGGAGGAAGGTCAGGAATCAGAAAGAAAGCAGGGCCATTTTCAGCAGCTCACCGTCTTGGGCACTGTGGTCCTGAGGTCCTGAACCTAAAGCCCGGAGGGAGGTGGGGTGGGTGGGGACTCTTTGGTTTGGGGGAAGGACCTCCTCAAGCTGTCCGTCTCTCCAACTGTCCACTTGGATGGATACTGGAGAACCAAGTGATGATCATGGTGGCAAACTGCATCAGAATCATCTGGGAAATTCTCAGAAATCCTGATTCCCAAGACACTCCTGGGCCCCACAGGAAGACGGGGTGGGGGGGTGGGGGGGCCGGGTAGGTGGATGAAGAGGGTTAACACAGGCATGGCCACTGGCCATTGGAGTCCACCCAGACCTGGTGACCTGCTGCTCAGTGTCCTTTTGGAGCACAGTTCTCCTCTGACACCTGGGGTCCCTGTGATTGGAGTTAACCCCAGCACCACCAGAAGGCCCCTTGGGCCCTCCCAAAACAAAGCCTTTGCATCAAGGTCTTACTGGTTCACAGCTGAATCTGATGCAGCCAGCTGTGAAATGTGGAGACTTCCTGCTGTGGGCTTGGACTGGAACTGTGCTGGGGACCCAGGGGCCCAACCGGGCGCAGGTCTGAGCCCTTGGCATCGTGCTGGCCAAAGCACACAGACCACTTGAGGGTCTGGTTAAGAGGCAGGACTGCCGCCTTTCACTGCGGGCTAGACCGGAGCATGCGCACACGGAATCCAGGAACAGGAATGGGAGTAGCAATACCAGGAGGACTGGGAAGGTGGGGAGCGGAGGGGAGGAAGAGGGAACCGATTACAATGATCGACACATACCCCCCTACACACACACACATACATACACCCAGGGGGACAAACGACAGAAACCATGGGAGAAGGTAGACATCGGTCGTTGTAAGATATGAAAATAATTTATAATTTATCAAGGGGTCGGGAGGTGGGGGAGGGAGGGGAAAAAAGAGGAGCTGATACCAAGGGCTCAATTGAAAGTAAATGTTTAGAAAAGAATGGTGACAACGTATGTACAAATAGGCGTGATACAATTGATGCATGGGTTGGTCTAAGAACTCTAAGAGCCCCAAATAAAACGATCTTTTAATCAAAAACGACACAGGCAGGGCTGGCTGGGCCGGGATTCTGCACTCTAGCTGGTGCAAGCCTGGAGGAGAGAGACTGGAGGAACGCGGCTCTAGGGCTCTCCTCGCCCATCCCCCGCCCCGGTCCCCATCCGCGCCCCCCACCCCACCCCACTTCTGGGCATCCCAACCGAAGCAGAAGCAGCCCTAGCTCCACCCAGGGGGCCCCTGGCCCCGCACCGGCGTGAGCTTGAGCTCGGGCAGCAGGTCGTCGAGGCAGCGGTACTCGCAGAAGTCAGTGCGCACCAGCTCCTCCTGCAGCTCCAGCACGCGGCCCGCCACCCCGTCCAGCAGCCGCCGCAGCAGCCGCCGCTTCTGCGGCTGCAGTATCTGGTCATAGATGGTGTCCAGGCGGCGCAGCAGCCACAGGTAATTGAGATAGAGCGCAGAGAGCCTGTGCTGGAGGGACTGGCGCTCCCGGTCGGGCACAGGGTCGAGGAGGGGCTGCTCCTGGTCCAGCAGCTCCTGCAGGGTCACGTGGGAAGACTCCCAGAGGCGCTGGTAGGCTCTGGGGTGGGGGTGGGGGTACAGGGGGAGGCTTTGAGGCACTGCTGGGGCACCGGTGGGGGGGCTACTGAGGCCTCCAAGGAGCATGAACACTAGGTTCCAGAGGTACGAAGTCCAGGTTATTTGTGGGGAGGGAGCTCAGATTGAATTTCCATGGTGAGAATGGAAATAGGGGAGGGGGGCCTTGGGAGAAGCAAGGATGGTTGATGCTCCCCCTCGCCTCCCCCCCCAACCCCCCAGAGGCAGAAGAGGAGTGCTGGTGCCCTCCTGTCTAAAAGGAGCCTTCTGAAATCAAGGATGAAGGCGCCACCCAGAGAGGTTGGGCAGTCGGGTGCACGGTGGGCAAGCAGAGACAAGAATCCCTACTCGAGAGTCTAGGTAGGTTCTCAAAGTGACGATCCAAAGGCAGCTTGAGGAACAATGTCCCTTGGCAAGGGAAGCCCAGGAAGCAAGGGCTGCTTGCCAGGAGCCCAGTCCCAGGGCGCTGGAACAAGCTGGGCCCCTTGCTCTTCTCAGCCCAGCGGGAGCCCCATTCCAGAGCCTACTTACCCCTCAGACATGGCTCCTGCCCCTCCTCACACTGCCCTCCCCTGTGAGCAAGCTGACCAAGGAACCCTAGAACCACCCCCAGTTCCACTCTGACTCCAATTCCGAGGCCCGATTGTCAACGCTCTGTCCCACTGGACCAGTGTTCCGAGGCACGGAAGAAAGGGCTGGGCGTGCAGGGTCCGCTCACCTCTTGGAGGCTGTCTTGCACGCGCTCAAAGGAGAGGGCTATGGCCGCAAATTCAGGAGAAGCAGGCCTGGGGAGGCCGGGGCCCAAAGTGGGGGTCAAATAATTGAAGGCCTTGGTTTAAAACTCCCCAAAAGCCACAGAGCTTGGGGAGAATGGTGGTCATCAAGGAATTCATTCCTCCAGTGGCAACCTTTTCCTTAATCCCAGCTTCCCATCACACCCAGCTTCCCTTCCCTCCGATAGATGCCTGACCAACGTGCGACGTGAGGGGAAGGGGCAGTGGATTTCTCCGGGACTTGGAGTCAGAGGCCTGGGTGAAATTCAGGCTCTGAAGTCCTGTTCTTCCCTCCTTGGAAGTGAGCATAAGGAGATGTCGCAGCGAGGTCTGCAGAGAAGCGATAGCTGTACCTGGGAAGAAGCCCATCGGAAAGTGTGGCATTGGGCAAGGTTTGGGCTCCTTCTGAGCCTTCTGTGGGCCGCAGGTTCAAGGGTAACACAAAAACAGTCCGCTGGCCACAGCCTGCTCCTGTGCGAAGTAGGGACTTATGAATCAATAAAGACACGAGGAGCCAAGAAGATGGGGCAGCGGCGAGGACCAAGCAGAGATCCATCCTCTGCTTTCAAGTGTGCATCTAAATTGCCCGAAAAGCCTGTTGAAATACACCTTCTGAATCAAAGAGCTGACAAGCTTCCAGATGCTGTCGATCAAGATAATCACACCCTGACTAAAGCTCAAAAGCCTCACTACCACCAACTCATAGCAACGCAGCGGAAAAACAGCAAAACTGCCCCCGTGACTTTGAGGCTGAATGACTTCATGGGAGCAGAAAGCCTCATCTTTCTCCTGCACAGGGGCTGGTGGGTTTGGACCGCTCCCCTTGTGGTTAGCAGCCCAGCGCCTAACCCACTATGCCACCAGAGCTCCTACATGGTCAATAATGAGGTATAAGAGAGAGTAGTTGAGTTAGTTAGTGGTTGCTTGGGCCTCTTTCTAGTTGTGCCTGAAACATAGGCAGTATGTTCCAATCTCATGAAGTAAGTCTCCTTGTGAGGCTTGTTTCAAGGAGACCCACGGACGGCACATAGCATTCCACTCAAATGCCAGCCACTCCTGAAAGGGAAGCCTGTTTAAGACATGCAGTTAAAGGTGATAATCACCGGTCTAGCTAGCTACCATAAGTCCCACTCTTTGCCGACCCTCTGAAAGCTTGAAGGGATGGGTCCCATGTTTAAAATAGAATAGGCAGAGAGAGAAATGTGATTAAATTGTTATCTATGGTGAATCCAGGTGGCAGACGTGTGTGTATTGTACTTTCTTGTAATTTTAATAATAAAAAAAAACCATGTTGGGACGGGCAAAAACCTCCCCCTTAACTGGTTCTGAAATTCAAGGGAAAGACGCCCGCGGTGAGCTTCACTGGAAACTGATCTGGGCCATGGGGTTTGCATCCTGAAGGAAGGTCTTTGTGGTCCTGTGCTTAAGCCAGTGCCTGCTACACAGGACATGAGAGATGGCATCGGTCACAGACTGTTCAGGTTACGAGGGGAATTGGAAGAGGCATTTCAGGCCCATGAAAGTCAAAGAGAAAGAGCTGCAGCCCAGCCAGAGCTCAGTTCACACCCGCCAGCCCTGCCTCAGTGACCTGCCCCTGTTAACAGTTCGTGGATACACCCAGAGAGCAATTCTTAAAAAGTGTGGGTACGTTATCGTTGCCCCTCCTGTGGCAGCCCTAGGCAGGAATGCTGACTAGTGGCCCGGATAACACACCCCTTCCACAAACCACCACAGAGTGCAGCGGCAATTCACCCTTTATTCAGCCAGGCCCGGCTCACTTGGAGCTGATGTACTTCGTGACGGCCTTGGTGCCCTCAGACACAGCATGCTTGGCCAGCTCCCCAGGCAGCAGCAGGCGCACGGCTGTCTGCACTTCCCGGGAGGTCAAGGTGGTACGGCCGGAGTACTGGGCCAGCTGGGTGGCCTCTGCTGCCAGTCGCTCAAACACATCGTTCACAAAGGAGTTCATGATGCTCATGGCCTTGGAGGAGATGCTGATGTCAGGGTGCACCTGGGAGAAGCAGCAGGACCTGCGGGTTAACAACTCTATAAAGCTCAGTCGAGGACTGTAAGGCCTCTTCTCACTAAGTGCCGGCTGCATCAGTATTCGCAGATGGCCTCACCGGTTAGGGTGTCGCCCTGGCACGTCTGCAGTGTTCCAGTCTGGATGCAGCCTAGGGTTTACCACCGAGGCGTCTGTTTGGTTAGTTTCTATTAATCGTGTGGAAAAGGTACATCCTTAAAAGCTCTTGTCTGGAAAACTTCAAGAAGTTAGTGGGAAATGGCATGAAAAGATAAGGGAATAGAAGCAACAAAGCCCACATGGAAGCACACCAGCCTACGCAACCACGAGGTGTCGAAGGGATCAGGTGTAAGGCA